TAGAATAATCTCTTTTCAGATCGAGAATAGCGGTGGTTATTTTTTTCAAATATTCGCCAAAAAACTAGAATTGCTGAATTTCGTTTTTTGGCTCTACCGCTTTCATTTCGAATGATTTGAAAGAGACAGAAGAACTTTCAATACTGTTTCATATTTATTATAGTCTGATATGAACCAATTTGAATGATATGAACTAAATTCATGGCATTTCATCATCAACTCTTTCTTTTTGAATATAGACCTCCAGTTTTGTACGGCGATTTTCCAGCATTCGTGGACATGCAAGCCCAATATTACCAAAAGTTCAGCCGAATACCTTGTAGGTATTCTCACAATGAAAAGTCCAGAAGGGTCAGATCAAATGAACGTGGTAGTCATTCAATAGGAGCAGTGTTTCCTATCCATTGTCCTGGCATAGTCGTATTGAGAAAATATCTGCAAATACTGCTGTTGCGGAGCTATATCATGTTGAAAATACTGACATTTTCTCAGAATATTCAAAGGAAAATCTTCCAACAACTCAACCAGAGTCTCCGACAAGAATTCTAAACATAATTTATTCGTCAAAGATGTCTCAAAAAAGTGGGGACCTATAATATTAGTGTCTAGCACACAAAGTTGAACATTAACTCCGAATCTNGGCCCACGTACTAAGGGGCCTCGCAAGATGAATAAAATTTTTATATTTTGAAATGACACCGAAATTATGACTTCAATCTCGAAATTTCGACTTTAATCTTGAACTTTAGATTTCAAATTCGAAATTTCGACTTTGATATTGAAGTTTGAATTTCGACTTCAGAATCGAAATTACGACTTTATTCTCGAAATGCCGGCTTCATATTGGAAATTTCGACTTCAATTTTGGAATTTTGACTTCAATTTTCGAAATCTCGACATCAAACTCAAAATTTTGACTATAAACATTTCGAGTTTAAAGCCTAGTTTTTGCAGCTTCATATCTCAATGAATTTTCATTCTACTGTGTCGTGGTGGACACTGATCGATAGAGAATTTAGTGATGCTGTTCATTTTTTTCCAAATTCTAATTTTTTACCTCTTTTCAGCTTATCACTGTATGATGTCTTCAAGCAATTTTCGGTAAATTTTTCTCTAATAATTCAAATTGAACCAAAGCATTACCGAAACAGCCCGAAAAATCAACCAGGCATTTGGCAATGATAGTGTTGAACGCTGACGTTGGTTTGCGAAATTTCGTTTCGGATGAGCCTGGAAGTGGTGAAGTTTTTCATTTTACTTGAAATAAACAATTTTTGAATCTATCTATATGAAGAATGTCACGAAAGGTTTTTCAGTTATTATAGATTCATCATTTCAACATTTTTTCAAAATATATGAAGTACGAATAAAAATAATTTGCTGAATAGATTTCAAAATGAATTGTAAAAAGAAAATAATACAGAAGCAAGTATTATAAACATGATGGGGCATGTTTATATCAAGTATGACATAATAAAAAATCATATCCTAAATTCCATGATGTAATTTTTTTACATTGTAGTATCATTATCTTATTCAATTCGTAGGGACATTTAGGAGTCAGAGATCGTGTATGTGAAATACTAGAAGATTTNTATGACGTCTTATTGGCCTGCCTTACACATTAAACTGGGGTTAATGAAACATTTTGTAGAAACATTAGACAAAGAAGGTCTTGCGTTTAAATATATTAAACAGGTTTTTCCAAAATTAAGTGATGCAAAGCTCAAGGAAGATATATTATTTGTTGGACCACAAATTAGAAAACTCCTAAGTGATCAACAGTTTGATCAAACATTGAGTAATATTGAATTAGCTGCGTGGAATTCTTTCAAAAGAATTGTTTCGGAGTTTTTAGGGAACAAGAAAGTAGAAAATTACGAAACACTTGTAGAAGAACTACTCGAAAACTAATGCAGAATGGGATGTCGCATGTCTCTCAAAATCCATTTCTTGCAATCCCATTTGAATTTTTTCCCAGAAAATTTGGGTGCTGTCAGTGACCAACAAGGGGAAAGGTTCCACCAAGACATACTGACAATGGAGCAACGTTACCAAAGCAGATGGGATGCAACAATGATGGGGGATTATTGTTGGTTCCTTATGAGGGAAAACGATGAAACATATTAACGAAAGTCAACATTTGCAAAAAGGTTATGCACAAAAGACTTTATTTGAATGTTTTTTATGTGTATTGTAAATAAAGTCTGTTATCCTCAAAGTATATTGTTTTTACCTTGTTTTGATCTTTAATTTCCCTATAATATGCGAAAATTTTTGTATAAAATACAAATAACTATAACTCAAAATCTTTATGTGATGGAAAATTTTTGATGTTGTAGTCGCAGTCAGGATGCTTTAAACTTTCATGTGTATCCATTATAATATTTGTTGCAATTCATTTAATTAGTTGTTGACTAGTGTTATTTTTTGCCTTGCCACGATCGACTGGACTGATAATCGTGATCGACCGGCCACCCCTGACATAGTCGATTCATCTCAAATGTAAATTATTTTTGTGGAATGGTTAATATTTTCTATTTTTTCCATAACAGAATTTGAAAAACATTTCCTGAATCTGTTTGATACAATAAAGCTTGTAACACTATCACTATATTCCAATTTGTCACATTTTTTTCTCGCGTATCATCTAGCATTTTTTGAATTGTTTTGGTTTAATGTCTGCTGCAACAGGTGATTATTTTTTGTGCGAACTGTTGAAGAATACTACATCATTAACAATAATGTATTACGAGCTAGCTGTTATAAAAGTCCACGCTTTGCATTCTTTCGTCCTTCCTTGGTATGGGTTCTTGAACTTTCCTTCTATCGAGAGGCTACAACCTATCAACCTTCTTCTCGAGGTAACAACATGCAGGCGGCACTTGCAAAATAAAGTACTCAGCAATGCAACAGCCCCAATCTATTATTTATATTCTAATGAAATTACCATGTAATATTATGCAAAAAAAAATAAAACAACGCTGGAAGGAAGTCTCTAACAAAGTTGACATCGTCAGTTTATGATTGATCAAATAATATGCGTATTTTTATATCGGAATAGTGTTGACAAAGACTGAAAAATAACTGTGTTACCTTACTTTGCAACACTACGAGCGAACAGTGTTTTGACTATACTATTCAAATTAATTTAGAATACCATAAGAAAAACCTTATATCTTTGAAACTTTTGTGGTTTCCGATGTTTCTATATTCTCTGTTCTTCGACATTTTCAACACTATATTCACCTCCTTTTCGAGAGATGAAATGAACTCGTATAAATAACAAAATAAAACATAACTGAATTGTGAAGTTTCCAATAGAGTCATTTACTAGAAAATAACATCGTGTTATTATGGGCAGTGGACATACATTGAAACAAATCTAAAAAAATGAACTCTGAATGTTCAAGCCAGTCTTCGATATACCTACACAGTAGGTTGAATGGACTGACGCCTATTAGAAATCAACTACTCCCCTGGCTAATACCACGAACGGCGTTGAATTATATCCGACAGACGTCAGTGCAGGAATCTTCACAGAAAATGTCCTGCATATGCAATTGGCAATACAACTGGAAGAGTCAACCTTCAATTTTGGATCCGGCACACTTGCAGACCGGCTTCGCGCTCACTAGCCACTCATTAGTGCAAGATAGTGGCCATCATCGAGCTAAAGTCAATGATATTCCATAATTGAAAATCGAAATTCTTTCAGAGTATTTAATTCCTCTTCTTTGCATTGCATTGTTTTACAATTGTTGTGAGTAATAGGTTTCAGGTTCATCACAGTATAAAAAGAATTGAAATTACTCAATTTAATCGAAATGAGCGTTATTTGAATCAGTGATTTATAAAAATCGAGTACTCGGGATTCGATGAACTCGTTGAAGGTCCTTCTGTTGACGAGTGCTGGCTGCATCAGATGCAATTTTTCGAACATTTCGTCGATTTTCTCACAATAGGACTCAGTTGTGATGGTTTGGCCTGGTTGCAATCGCACCACACCGTTCAATAATGAGAGACTGGGACAGTCTGTATATACATTTCGATAGGTACAGTCGTTTTACGGCAAGACTTACAGGGTTGGTTAAATTGGACAATTTATAATTTTGGGGAACTAGAATAATCTCTTTTCAGATCGAGAATAGCGGTGGTTATTTTTTTTAAATATTCGCCAAAAAACTAGAATTGCTGAATTTCGTTTTTTGGCTCTACCGCTTTCATTTCGAATGATTTGAAAGAGACAGAAGAACTTTCAATACTGTTTCATATTTATTATAGTCTGATATGAACCAATTTGAATGATATGAACTAATTTCATGGCATTTCATCATCAACTCTTTCTTTTTGAATATAGACCTCCAGTTTTGTACGGCGAGTTTCCAGCATTCGTGGACATGCAAGCCCAATATTACCAAAAGTTCAGCCGAATACCTTGTAGGTATTCTCACAATGAAAAGTCCAGAAGGGTCAGATCAAATGAACGTGGTAGTCATTCAATAGGAGCAGTGTTTCCTATCCATTGTCCTGGCATAGTCGTATTGAGAAAATATCTGCAAATACTGCTGTTGCGGAGCTATATCATGTTGAAAATACTGACATTTTCTCAGAATATTCAAAGGAAAATCTTCCAACAACTCAACCAGAGTCTCCGACAAGAATTCTAAACATAATTTATTCGTCAAAGATGTCTCAAAAAAGTGGGGACCTATAATATTAGTGTCTAGCACACAAAGTTGAACATTAACTCCGAATCTCTCTTTGAAATTTGTAGCTCTATGTAGAAATTGTGAATTTATTTCTTCTGAAATTTTTTTAACTGACGTAGTCGCTTATATTTTTTTGTCCTTAATTTTTCGATTTTCAACAAATCCTAAATCGAATGAATATCACTTAATTATTACTGAGAATGTCTTCTGATCTTTCCTAAAACGTCAATTTTAGTATTTCTGCCACTTTCAGTCACTGTACAAGTTTTACTAGAATAATCCCTGGACTGCATGAGCATGAGAACCTCTACTTTTGCTCAAAAATTACTTCTAGGTGATTATGTTTTTTCGTTTCCAGGTTACCAGTTTGCACTAATGGAGATGAAGACAATCATTTTCACCATCTTGAAAAAGTATGAGCTCAGTTTGGTACCAGGGCATGAGGAGTACACTCTCACTTACAGGACCACCCTTAGGGCGAAAGGAGGGATATGGATACGATTGAAAGCAAGAAAATAATGGGCTAGAGTACAAGTGTGCTTTAATCATTATCCATAATATAATTTTTGTTCGAATTATTGCCATTTTCGTGTTCACTAGTCTGCCATGATGGGCCGTGCGTAGCTTCATAAAATCGATTTTGGTCATTTTGAATCTGGACAGAAATTCTAATATTTCTATTGATTGTGGATATTGGAGATTTGCCATCTATCACTTTTATTTGAATATGTAGATTAGGAACCTCTCCTGATTACTCAAAACTCAATCATCTTTCAAACCTTCGAAAAATAGCTGGATTCTTTAAATTATAATTTATTGTATCAAATCATAATTCAGGGTCTTTTGAGATAAGTAGGTATTTGAATAAGATTGAAATAAGCTCCATGTTCATAAATAAATATGTTTACTTTGTTTATCCAACTTTCATTTAGATTTATTCACAACAAGCAAGAAAGGTCGACGCTCCAGAATCAGCAAGAATTTTTGCACCGAGCTAATCAATGTGATATTTTTGATAGTAGGCCCAGTGTAGGAAATATGCTACCCAAACAACAATGTGCCTGGGACTCGATTAATTTCAACACGGCTCGACTGCATGTATGAAACCTTCATCAAAGAGAGAAACTGAACTAGTAATAGCTCTATCTCGTGAACAAAGCCCTAATCGGGAAAGAAATATATTAAATATATATTAGCCGGGGAGGTAGTTTTTTTTCCGGCAGGCATTTACCAGAATCTACGGTGTAGGTAGTTGGGAAAGATGAATGTTTCAAAAAAAAATCTGTTTTCAAAATCTGCTTTTCCGTTAATCAGCTGTCGCCTCCATACGAATAATAACTCTCAGAAGTTGAGTAAACTTGTGCGAGCTGAGGACTAACGGTCTTACCTTTTAATGTGTGATCCCTAACACGAAATCTTATTTCGAGTTATTCATTTTCTTACATTATTATGTATAAATGAAACTCGTGGGTTATTCTATTTGAATATTTTTATAATTAATGTTACAATAAGTCAGAAGGTATCAACTCTTCGTGGCTTTTGGTGAGTAGAAATAAACAATTTTTGAATCTATCTATATGAAGAATGTCACGAAAGGTTTTTCAGTTATTATAGATTCATCATTTCAACATTTTTTCAAAATATATGAAGTACGAATAAAAATAATTTGCTGAATAGATTTCAAAATGAATTGTAAAAAGAAAATAATACAGAAGCAAGTATTATAAACATGATGGGGCATGATTATATCAAGTATGACATAATAAAAAAATCATATCCTAAATTCCATGATGTAATTTTTTTACATTGTGTAGTATCATTATCTTATTCAATTCGTAGGGAAATTTAGGAGTCAGAGGTCGTGTATGTGAAATACTAGAAGATTCTCGAATAGAACTGAAAAAACTAGGATGAAAGATAGTTTTAGCAATGAATGTCGATTTCTGACGTTTCCTCTGAACTTTCGAACGGGGCACGATATCATCAGAGAGGCATAAATTTTTCGTGAAAAATAATTTTTAGTACTTCCTGATGAAAACACCAAAATCGTAACATCACTTGCCACTCAGAGAGCGCTATCAACTTTTTTTTTCGAGTGGAAAAGAAGAAAATTTTATTATCTTAACCAGCAGATCATTCCAATGGACCGTGCCATCTAAGTCACATGTCTGGGTACGTATGATTCACCAATTCCCTTAAAATTAAAAAAATATGGGGGTGCATCATCCTATTGGATAACAACTGGATTTTCGAATACATCATAATTGCTGGTCACAATTTCTTGAATCTGTGGGCGAATGAGGTTTTGAAGAATTTGAAATGTAAATTACTCATTAGATTCTTCTCTAGATATATGGGATCTACAGTTGATTTGTCAAAAATATGTTGGTTAGTGTCTAACCAATATCGCACATTTTTGTGGTTGATATTTCCCTTTAAGAAGAAAGTGCATTTGTCAACAGAACAAATACTATTTATGCAGTTTAGATTTGTCGTAAAAACGAAACTGCATTTTTCTGACAGGGTCGACTTCATCATTGACTTTATGTGATATATTTAGTACATAGGGGTGAAACTTATGTCTTGTGAGGTATTTTCCGACTTTGGTTGTCGAGAAACTAACTCGTTTTCAAATGTATTAGATAGTTTTATACTTGATAATGGGATAAAACCTGAAACCGGTCGTAAAAATAACTAGTGGATATTAGACAGTGTTTTTATTCATTTCATTAAAGTGATAATGTGTAATAGATTGCTGTCCATTTGTAGATTCCTAAATTTATCTGCAGCACCCTTGCTATCTGTGAATATTATAAAATTCCTTTTATCATTTTTATATCTGTTTATAGGGTAACGCGGTGTGATTGCATATCTACATAGTCGATCACATAAAATCCTAAATCGAATTAAAATACGAATGCGCTTCATTGTCAAATACTATGCAAACTTTGAAGCGCGCGGGAAGTCCCAGTCGCGCGTTTCAATTTACAGAATCACATTGCACGGGAAGTAATGGAACTCATCAGAATCAGAAGACGCCTGAAGAGAAGATACCAATGAACACGCGCTCCAATGGACAAAAGGAGAATGCACAGAGCCGGCAGAATTCTGCGGCAAGAGCTGTGTGCAATACGAGAGTGACAATGGACCACCCGTCTGGAAGAAAACCATGTCCGCCTATACACGGCGAGCAAAGAATCGTCTACTCAGACCAAGAGAAAGCGGAAACATTTGCTGATAACTTCGAAAGGCAGTGTAGAGAAAATGATGCCACGTTCACGGATAAAGTAAATGAAATCGAAAACCAGGTCGAAGAGACGGTACGAAGGATAAGACGGCAACGAAGGGACAACGCACATCCCCTGACACCGATATCACCCGAGGAAGTGAAAGGCATCGTGAAGTGACTAGCCACTCGGAAAGCCCCAGGCTTGGACCAGATTCCAAACCCGGGCACTGAAAGCCCTACCACGAAAGGGTATAGCGGCAATAACAAACGTCATCAACGCTATACTCAGACTACATTTTCCGTAGCATTTTCCGTAGCCGTTCGAGGAGGCAACGGTCATTCACATTCCGAAGCCAAAGAAGAATCATATATTTCCGGATAACCATAGGCCAATAAGCTCAACCCCTACTATAAGCGAAGTGACAGAACCAGTCGTCTTAAAAAGACTAGAAGACCAAACCAGTCAGGTTTCAGATCCGAACCCTCAACAGAGCTGCAAGTCCTGAGGGTAGTAGACTTCGCGACAGAAGGTTTCAACCTCGGCAAAGGATACCACACTAGAGCGATATTCCTAGACGTCTACAAGGCGTTCGACAGAGTTTGACATGACGGACTATTAGCCAAAATGAGCAATTTTGGCTAATCGAAACAAATGGTGAGGTTAATCAAATATTTTCTAGATGACAGGCGATTCCGCTGCAGAGTAGGATAAGAACACTCCACCATGCCATTACTGGAAGCAGGGGTCCCACAAGGTGCAGTTCTTTCGCCACACATCTTTTCGGTATACACAGCAGACGTGCCCAAGCCAGAGAACAACTTCAATAAGCTGGCACTCTACGCGGACGACACAGCTCTGTTGGCGAGATTAACAAGCCAAGCGCATGTCACCAGATACTAGCAACAACAGGCGAATAGACTAGAGTATTGGTCCAACCTTTGGAAAATCAGTATAAATCCTGACAAGAGTCCGGCGATACTATTCACTCGGAGGCTGGTACATCCGGTAGGAAACGTCACCTTCAACGGGCAAGAGATTCCATGGACCAACAAAGCGAAATACCTGGAAGTCACCCTCGAAAGAAGATTATGAACGCGTGCGTGCGATCCGCCGTAAACGCTCCAAGATATATATCGAACAGATATACCGGGTGTCCCACATTTTATGTGACAGGCAATATCTGGTTTGTTGAAGGAGATACACAAAAATGTTTCATACAAAAGTTTTAGGAGTTCATGAGAGCTATATTTTGATATAATTTTTAAATATACAGGGTGTTTGGTGTAGGCGCTACAGACCAAAATTCCATTTTTTAAAATAGAACGCCCTGTATATCATTACATATTCAGATGCTACGTTAAATT